TCAAATTCACAGAATAAGCTCGAAAGTGCTATATAAGAGCAAGGGAAGATGTCTCTCACGGCACTTGAAGTTGGTTCAAGCGATCAGGAGTTGCTTTTTCGGACCCTGTGAATGTGCAATGCATGGGGGGCCTCTTGGGGAGCGACGGCCTGCAGAACCTAACGCCATTACTTTTTTGGCACTATTGAACTATTCCTACCCCAAAAACTCAAAAAAATTTTCGCTGAAACGTTGCCTATAGATGTAATTCGATGCGCTGATCACGAATATCACATCCGTTCCGAGCGCTGGCGTCATTTGGCGCCATTATGCGCCAATTTTGGCGCCCACCACTTTTTTTCACCGAAGTCGATGAAAACTCACATATGGGGGTTAATTAAGGTCCTGATTACGAACTAATCCAACAATTATTTTTACGCGCGTATTTGGCGCCATATTAACGCATAGTGAAGCCAAATCGCGCCAGCGCTCAAAACCAGTGTGATATTCGTAATTAGGATGTCGGTTAACCCCTATATATGCAAGTTTTCATCGACTTTGGTGACAAAAGTGGTGGACGCCAAATTGGCGCATAATGGCGCCAAATGACGCCAGCACTCGAAACGGATGTGATATTCGTGATCAGCGCATCAAATTACATCTGTAGGCAACGTTTCAGCGATTTTTTTTTTTTCTGAGTTTTTGGGTAGGAGTAGTTCAATAGTGCCGTTTTTCAAACGTCCACTGACATCACTGCGAGTTGTGATTGATGAGGTGATAAGGAAACATCCCATGATCTCTAACGCTTCTCCAACCTTGGTATGAATCTCCATTAATAAGGCTATTCAGTAAGCTCACTTGGACTCGATAGGGTATTAGGTCCGATGCTTCTCTGTAAGGTCGATATTGAAATCTTCGAATCACCTAAACTATTGTGAGCATTTCTGAAAGACATAGCCTTTTGCCATTTACTTAGCAACTGGGCCTGTGCGGTTTTAGCTTTACAATTAGAAGTAAAAAGAGAGGCTCGAAAATGCTCAATTTCGTCGACCTGACACTCCACATTGGCAGCACTTTAATATTGGTGGAAACACATATTTCAAGAATCACAAAGGAGAATAGTCGTTGTTAGCAAGGAATCTCTATTAAACAGGCAGCGTAAACTCCATGGGCAAGAGTCTTTCATGCTTTAGCCGCGATATTTTCGGGTTGAGAAAAAAAACGCCATTACTTGTGGGCCGACCCAGTAGATGGTAAAGTGGCAAGTGATTCGCACACACGCTTGCAGTCTGGTGGTCAAATCCTGCACCGGCTCATGCCCTTCGAGACAAGCTTCTCTAAATTAATCCTGCTGCGACACTTGGCTTACCAGCTTCGTTTGAGGATAAAAAACGCTGACTTGACATGGATTGCACAACCTATTGTTTGCGCATTACCATTCAAATGCCATTACGATTCTAAATGGAAATAGGAAGTATATTAACATCTCAAAAAAAATTGAGCGACGGCGAGAGCTTCATCCCTCTATCCTCTTCAACTGGACCAGCACAACACGTGAAAAGCAAACTGGACCGTGTTGAATGTTCCTGTTGCTGACTATATCAGACCGAGAAATGGCAAAGTGACTGACCTCACAGGAATTTAACCCCACAGAGACATTAAATCAGTTGCCTGAAGGAACCCTCGCAACTACCACTCTCTCCAATTTTCAAGAACTCTCCTTGAAAAACGAGTCTTTGGGACGGATATGGGTCAGGAGATCCGCACTGCGACGACGACGCGTGTTCGTCATCTGATATAACGAGCACAGCCTCACACCGAACCCATTTAATGTTCCAGTGTCTCAGTATTCGGAGCCAACTATCTACTAAATGCCGGCCAGTTGTTTCGCGTGAAAATCTGCTTCCTTCTTTGTTGAAAACCTCCTCGACTCCGTACCCATAATAGACCGTTCGAGCCGTTTCTTCAGTATATCTTGGGAGTGTTATCCGAAAAGCCCACCCATGATATCAATGCCGTGCGAGCGCTTCCATCTTCAAAACAAATGCTCCGCCGAAAACCCTTGTTGAAACTTTCTCAGTGGATTTCCTCTCGTGAAATCAAAAGGAGATGTTAGAATGCAGCGTGCACCCGATCGAGGAATCGCTGTTGCTCAATCCTTCTCAGAATACGGTACGTATTCTTACACTCACTATTTCCTGAGCCAGAGTAGGCGTGGCATTTGAACATGGCACGGAATTGGTTACTCGTGGAATATTCCAGTCCGGGACAACTGTCATCTTGTTCTGTGTTGTACAGAGACACGACAACAGTTGTGTCAAGATGGAAATATTCCACCAGAAAGCATAGACACCTTCAGGCTTAAGTGAAATGCAGCCCCGCCTAGCCGACCTCAGGGATCTCGAGTATATTTGTAGGAGCCTCGTGAATGCCACATGGTCTATACAGCAGTATTAGTGACTAGCCCAAACAGAGGTTTTTGTTTGTCGCAAAACGAATCTGATTACCAATTTTTAGCGATCCCGCTGAGAAGACCAGCTGGGCCTGGTCGGGAGCCGACTTCGCGATCTGACCACCGAACCGCGCGCGTGGTACTTGAACCACTTCCAGCTACACCACCTCTGCAGGGGCCAAACAGTACACATACATCACCTCTCTGTTATTATTTTTGGGAAAAAAGTTCGAAAATTTTGTAAATCAAAGACATGCCCCGGATGCTCAAACTGCACCCACATAGCTGTTTGATGGAGCCTCGCCCACGTTAACGAAGCCTTTTATACACGGGGAAGGAAAAAATACTTCGGCCGAGTCACATATCAGCAAAGTTTACGCAGCCCACACAGAAGACGCGGATATGAGTACCAAGGAGGAAGATACCCAAGATGCTCCTCAATACCCAAGATGCTCAGCAGGAGCAGGCTTCGTCCATCACTTTCATGTACACCAAAATACGAAGCCATCTCCCAGCAGAAACAGTAGCCGAACTGAAGAAGGCTTATGGAATTGAAAGTCACCTCCAAACAGTGCCGAGACTTTTGTATGGAGCTGACCCATCGAACGCTTACTTGGAGACCGGCACTCTTGCTTCTGGGATCTCTAACATCTCCGAAAACGTCGCTACGGTTTATGATATCATCTTCACAGCAGTCCCTAGTGGGCGGGTTGATGGTATGGACCGGCAGTTTTTCTTTGAAATCGAGAACGAAATTTTCTTCGTAGACCCCGGACTGAAAGTGAACGCTGACTGTTACATTGAACAGCTCGAAAAGAATATTCTGTTTTCATGTCGTCGCCTCTACCTTCCTGGAAACTTCGTGCTGCTATAAGACTGCATGTCACCACATGGAATCGAAGGACGTTGAAAAACTCTCGCCTACTTAGAATGGGAGGGCGTCGAGTACCTGAAGAAGACGGAATACTGAGTATGTCACCTGACCTAAACCCCTCGATTAGCGGGTCCGGCACGGAGCTCAAACATGAGGTGGTCTTACAGTGGGCCCAGAGAAATTCAACGACTAGCCGGCACTCAGGCACCGAATCACGCGTCACGTGGCCCAGAAACTCTCGGTGGCTTTCAGTCAGAAGCTATGGCTCGGAGTTCGCGATCTGCTACAGCTCGTTGTTGAATTGATGGTTGTGAAAATGTCCAACCAGCAACTAATGAAGTGTAACGTTATATCGCCTTAGAGGAAGAAAAGTGACTTTTTTCTGCCCCCTGTATTTTGCCTAGGTACTGTTAGTGGAAAACTGTCAGGGCAAGGGAAAGGATTCAACTATCACCGTAATCCATCGTATACATAAGTAACTGTAATGCACGCCCTGCGCAGTTACAATTCTAACCATACCTGTGCAACATAATTTCCCATTTTTTCCCTCTACCACCCTCAGCTGAAAGGGATTTGGGGTGGTGCATCACAGAAATTCGGGTTTGAAAACAGAGACACCACGTCTCATTCACAGTGTAATCACTGGAACTTGCGATGCAGAGCTGAAGTGTAGAAGTATAGAGATGATCTTTACATTTATTTAAAACTCATAACAAGCTTACATTGGAGAACATTATTCTTAGTGAGAGGTAAACGTAGTAATTACAGTCCAATAACAGTTATACAATCAACTACTCATACGTTTGAAGGTTCTGATAATACTCTCTTTCCTGAGCATTCCTTCTGTTCTTTGCCTGAGCCAATTTTGCCTCAAAGCCATTGGACCGATCCACTCCATCCCACCGGTATCCTGGCCGTATACCAAAACGATTTGGTGGGCATTCGCCTTGATACGTCGGATATACTGCAACATGAATCGCATATCTTGTATTACCAACCAAAAAAAAGCAGTTTAACCATTCTTTACTCTTGGCGATGGCGGGTCGTGGGCGCTCGGTCTAGCGCACCGTCCTGCCTGTTCTCCCACTCGTTGCTGAAAACAGCGTGAGCCGACTTTGATGCGGAACGATATGGCACTGTGTGTAACGGTGCCCCACAAAAAGCGGGCTGGCGCCGCCCGCCACCATTCATCCCCGCCTTCAAAACGCCCCATAATCCGCAACGAACAGGACTGTGTCTTACCCAAATCTCCTCGCTTGAGAGCTTGCTTTCGTTTTTTGCTATTCAACATCACTGCCATTGGATCCTCCTCATGAATCTCTTCTTTCAGCTGCCGATTCATTTCTACGTCATCGGCCATTCTTGCCAGTGGTTCAGCTGCTACACGAGCCATCTCGTCCAGTTGTGCTGCTCGCTGAAATTAGGCCGCTCACTTTCTGAATAAACCCGGCTCTTCTCCCAACAAAATTGATCTCAGTGGTGCCTTATAGACAAAAGGGGCATGGCAAGGGCGTGCCTGTGGAGGCCTTTACACACACACACCTCCGAAGAGCAAGCCCTTGCCATGTGCGAGGTAAATGGACGTGCAGCCGCAGTAGCGTCTCACTTTCTTTGCTCAAAAGTGCACAGGAACGAAACTGTGGGGGGCATCCGCAGCATTCGCGTCGATACGAGTGTTTCGCTGCGAAACACGAACTCTGCGATACAGGACAACAGAAAGAAGGCGTAGACAAGAAGAGCTCTCGTCTATGGCTAGGGCGCCCGGTTGGCCGCCACAGCAAGCCGCCGGGGCCGAATATTGGAAAAGAACATCTGAGCATTATACCTTCCTGACCTGTTCCCGTCAATTTCTGACGAAGAACACGCCTTGCCCTGCAGCTGCAGGACCCATTCACCCACACGATGGCACAAAGACAAAGATCCACAAAGTGAGTGTTACACTTTGTCTTGAAGGACTGTTTCTCCTGATTACGGAAGCTTAATGCAATGATCGTGAATAAACTTTCACTCTCAGGAGGAGAGAAATAGAGCATATTATCCTCACGGAGTCCTCAACAAGGGGGCGGGGAGGTCGTATTTACTCGTCAAAGGAAAACGGTCGAATTCGCGCACTCATGTACCAACAGTAGGAAAGCATCAGCGGAATCCCGATCTTTGCAGCATCTTCTTCGTTACGGAGCAGTCTGTTCTTCGCCTCCACGAGGTTTTCATGGCAATATGGTAGGAGAGAAGAAAAGATTAAATTTTCAAGTGAACGGGTGGGGAGCGTGACGAGCGGAAAGCCGTGGCGAGATGGTCAAGAATGACCAATTTTCCGCATTTCCACATCGTTATGACGAATTTTTGTAGGAAAAGAAACATCTCTTACTGAATCTTTCTGAAAGCGGTGGTAACAAATACTGGCGTAAAAACGCTATGAGAGTGGACACTTCGGAAGGTGTTCCTGCGCTAACTGCGTACTGCGTCTTTAGAGGTGAAGGATTCTGTCTAAAAAGAACTTCAGACGCCTCGTCACCAGATCTCTGTGCGCAAAGAAAAGGCTATCGGCCTTTTGTCCCAGTCCCTTAGCCAAATGCCATACCGCTCAGCTGCAAGCATCCTTTGTTCCACAACTCATATTTCTCTTGAAGTTCTGCTTGTTTCTTGGCCTCGCGCTCTTTCCTTTCCTTATCTTCTGGTTTTTCACGACCTAGAAGTAATAAATATGATCTTCTCCCCCAAAAATAATACAATGAATAAAAAAATGCTGCACACCTTTTCGTACTTGTTTTTGCCGTACAGTGGTCTCTGCATTTCGACCGCTCACTGATGCATCCATTTCTTCGAACATCTAATAGAAAGTTTGAGAGAAATAAAACGTATAAAACTGAGCAAGCAATAATTTACGGTACCACAAAAATACGCCTAGAATACCTTAGCTTCACGTTCGCGCAGTTTCTCCGACTCTTTCTTGAGATCAGCTGCTGACTGTAGTCCCGCTACCTAAAAGTACACATAATAAATCAGTAAAGATTTAGGACTACAGTTTGAGAGAAAGAAAAGAAGAAGAAGACTATTTCAAATTAGTGATGCTGACTTCTCCAAAGACAAGCTGGTAAACTTCAGCTCTAACAACTCAGTATTCATCAAATGCGCAGTTCACGCTGACTATATGGGCGGAGACAGAGAAAAATGCAGCTATCTAAGGTGTCCTTTGCTGTTTGCTGCCTTAGAAAGAGGAGCATATCAGTGAGAAAAAACATGATTGTCCTCAGTTCCCAACCATACGATCGGGGCGGACGTCTTTAAATGTAATTGTGAAACATCATACTAGTTTCAAAAGTTCGGGTAATAAAAACTAATCATAGCCCAGAAATTTCTGATAAAAAATAATACTTACTTTTCCGTCTAGTGTCCGCTGAGTTTCTTTGCCCAGCCGTTCGGGTGTTGCTATGCGTCGTTCCCGATGCTTTTCCGATTCACGGCGGTGGGATGACGGCCTTCCTGAAACAATTCTGTTTAGTAGTTGTTAGTGGCTGTTCCGCAAAAGCCTTGTTCGAGCAAGGGTAAACTGAACGCATGAAGGGTATAAAGCATGTCCTCTCCTTTGCTCATTCGCAAAGCATCCATCCATACGCGATTCCCTTTTCCAGTCATTAGCCCGTTCCTGTTCCCCGTCAGAGGCCTCAAACGATGGTGAAACAGTTAACTCTTCTTTGCTAGTTTTTTTTTCTACCTCAATTTTATCTTCCCATGGTCGAATTTTCAAAAGATCTCCAAATTGATTTCCCATAGGTTTCCCAGCCTCTTCTTTCCCTCCACTTCAATCCGATGCCGAAAAGAGCTCATAACTTGTTTACACAGTCTTCAACCTAGGCAAATCAGAGACGACGGAAAGCTTTGCACACGTACCGATGAGTAGAATCGGTGCACTGCGAAAAGAACATAGGGTATAGAGAGCACGTCCTGTACGTGCCGTCCGAAAAATAAAAATACGAACCGTCCTCGAAATTTCCTTCCCAGGTACGATCTCCCCGTCCCCATCCTATTCTTCCTGACTACCCCCAACTTCCTACAGCTTTTCCAGAGTTTTCCAATTATTTTCCAGGTCCCCCCCCCCAAAAAAAAGTGTGGTCGCCCGGACGGCCCGTCCGGGACGAGGGGAGGGGTATATACAAGGACAAGGGTACAAAGAAGAAAAACTGAGAAAAGTCATCAACCGGAATTTTTTCTCGAAGGCGATACGACTCCCTCCCTGCAGCGACTACATATGACTCCCCCACCCGCAGCTGGGGATTCCCAACCTACAACGTGAACTGACGTCATAGATACGTCAAACGCCTCGACTTGGGAGAGCTGGCGATCGGCGGCGATTCGTCAATTCTCCCTTTCCATCGACCCCTCCTTTTCGCGAAATCACAAAGTTGTGCACTTTGAACAATGCCTTACCGTGAGCTTGTCCAGTCAAGTGGCACATAAGCTGCAAAAAAGCAGAGCTGGCTACATGTACGTGGTGAAGAGGAAGCTGCTACACCTAAGGCGTGAACAACTGAGTCGTGCTAAGCACACTGGCCGTGCTTCTCCAGACAATGGCCCGGGATCGCCGCAAGACACACGTAAAACATAAATATTATAACATACGGGTAACACAACATACCATGTTTTCGAGGTGGAGACTTGGTCTGAATCCGAGCCTCTTCTTCTTACTCGAGAACGATCTAAAAAACTGACAAGAGACTTCAAGCTTGGATGACAATTCATCTCTTCCATAAATCCTCCGTAAATTCAAGATTTTGATACAGAGTGGGAGGACAAGCGATCTCACCTCTCCGCCCACGCCCCCCCCCCAGGTGGCCTTTCGTAATAGAAAGGAGTCCAGAACGTTTTCTAGACGGTGACTGGTCAGAATCGACTTCATTTTTGACAGCAGGATGTTGAGACGATCGTTCTGAAACAGCCTCGAAATAGATCTTCTTCATAGGAGTTGTGATATTTCTTTTGTATTCCAACTTCGTAAGCAGCATTGGTGCGGAAGTGAGTGCGAAAAAGGGGAAAAATTGGGTTTTGGAATTTAGCGGCATTCCTCAGATGATCAATTTTTAGAACAAGTACAACAACAACTAGGAAATGTTTCGTGAAACGTAAACGATTCAACTACCACGTCTCCGAGTGGTGATTTGGTCCGGGTCAGAGCCATTTCTTTTTCTAGACTTGACTTTAAAAAGTCCATAGTGACAAAAAGCCATCTATATGGTCACAAAGAGAGGAGCTCACACTACAGAAAACCAAAAATAAAAACCATATCTGAAAAGGGACAAACTATTTACACCCCTAGGTAAGACACTACTGCATTAACTCAGCGCAGCTTGTGCAGGAGTACAGGCGGGAAGTTTCCGGAAGCAAATTGAAATACGAATTGAATTCTCACAAGGTGGTTTGAAAACAGGCGAGCTTTTTATGGCACCGAGCAAAACAGATGGAATACATCGAGCAGATGACCGACATTTCAAGCTCCGATGTTCCCATCATTGTACGTGAGCTTCCTCTACAGGAGACCTAACGATAACAAAACTAGCTGCATGCAAAATGAGTGGTTTTAGTAGTAGGGTCAACCTATCCCAGAGTCCCCTTCCCTTGAAAAAAAATGTTCGCGCTAAAAAATCCGGGAGAGAGACACCACGCGGCGGTGCGACTGAGGCTGCTAGTCGACACCCCTTACCGTGACAATGATCTTTCCTTGCGAACACGTTTAGCTGGTATAGGGGAAACCCCAACTTAATCCTTTCAGATGGGTCGATTTTCTGTTGCTAAGCATTGTAATTTAAGGCCTGACGAAGGCATTACGTGCCGAAAGCTCGCCAATAAACGTGTTAACCAAGTGAAGAGCTTCAAATACACCACGCAACATTACTAATAGTAAGTGATAAGAAAAGGGTGATCTGATAGAAGTGATGGAGAAGAGTGAAGATCATAGCACGAGATGAAAAACAACTAGAGCTGAAGGAGAAGTGTTTTAAAGAAAACGATGAGATTAGTGAACTTACCACGTTTGCGAGGCGGTGACTGGTCGGAATCAGAGTCATTCCGTTTCCGAGCACGTTTCTCTGAAAGATGCGAAGCTCACGCGAGGAATTTTGTAGGGGACTTACAAGTTACAGAAGTTTTGTGGAAGTAAGGGTCATTATAATTTACATTCAAACCGAAGAGTTGACTTTCAATGTGAAAACTTTGAAAACTTACCCCTTCTTGGCGGCGACTGATCGGAGTCCACTTCAACTTTGACCGAAACATTCTTAGCAGAAGTCTCTGGAAGAAGAGCTGCATTTTCAAGAATCAGTTTTGTTGGTTTCATCAATTAGGTGAATCTCATAGGTAGATTTTTGCCGAGATTACTCAATAGATTCTGTATGGTGAGGGCACGTTGTGCGGTGAGGATCCCCAGCGAGGGAGGGGCGTATTTGCTGGATATCGTTGGCATTTGAGAACATGTTTTCTGTTGTCAACTTTCCTCCTTTTTTAATACTTTAAGTGCACAAGTGCGCCGCTATCCAAGCTTCCCCCCCCCCGCTCGATGCAAGTTTTTTTCTTGGAGGGAGGTGAAGAAGAGGGACAGGACTGGAGAATTCAAAAAATAAAATGGACAATGGTAGGAAGTTGGGAAAATTTCGGAAAAATTAAAATATTCAGAAGATCATATGTCATGTCATCATAGGTTGGGTGATAAGGAGGGCAGTAGTACTAGAAGAGTAAAACTTGAGAGCGACAGAACGTGTCCTGAATACAGTGAAAAGCTGCCACACACATTTCTCCAACTAAGGCAGCGTTCAGACTTCGCGACGGCAGCGCTTCGGTCGCGTGTTCGACGCGATCGATGCGCATGCTTTCGACTGCATTGATCGCGTCGAACGCGCGACCGAAGCGCTGCTGTCGTGAAGTCTGAACGCTGCTCAACAATGCGCTCATGTGCAAACCTTAAACGCAATTTCACATAAAAGAGCCTACTTGTTTTACGAGGAGGTGAAACGTCAGAGCTGGAATCCCGCCTTCTTCGCGATGATCGATCTGAAGTACCATTTTTTGAAAACCGTAAAACAACCAGATATTGGCCTCACAAGTATGCCCCGCTAAGGGATCGGAGTGCTCAGGGTCAAGGCACAAGATTACCACTCGGAGAGTACTCTGTACGACTGGCGCCACTGATTCCCTCAGTGGTCGACTCCTGAGACACCCTTATCCTCAGCGCAATCTCTGTCTTAGAAGATAACTCACCATGTTGCCTTGGCGGTGACTGATCGGAATCACGTCTCCTTCTCATGGAGTGGGCTTGTGAGTCATCTGAAAAGGTATGTTACTGAAGGCATGTCAGTACCCTGTGCGGCCATCAACTTACTGTATTTTCTGGGAGGCGATCTATCAGCACTACGGCGCCGTTCCTTCCGTGATGACATTTCTGGAAAGTGAGTTGTGGAACCAAGCACTCCCGCCAGGAAGTAATAAAAGCTTACCATGCTGTGGAGATCTCGAGCTATGCCGTTTTTTCAAAGCGCTCGGTTCAGGACCACCTACAAAGATGCAATTAAGGTCTAAACAAGGTAAGACGGTGAGGGATATTCGTTTACGAGGGACGATTAGAAACAAAGAAAAACAATATTGGGAAAAGAAAACACTTCAAATCACAGATGGTCCGTTTCGCCTCTTACCCAGACGGATCATCACTGTCTCGCCAACCCCGACGCAAAACTGATGAGACCAAACCGAAACGATTGTCTCAGGAAAAGCACGTTGTGATAAACGCGCTCCAATGGCAGCAGAAAGCGAAAGACGGGAAACAGCATCAAAACGTTATTCGTAACTGGAGCCACAGCAGAGTGAAATGTAACCTACGTTTCCTTGGAGGAGAAACGTCGGGCATCAGAGTCGTGACGGCCCTTTCGCTGTAAAAATCTCCATAATGATTATGTTAGCAATTCCCAAAGAAAGAACGGCGACGCGAACAAAGACATACAGTACTGATAAGTAAAATAATAAATAGAAGAGTTCTTTAACACACCTTTTCTTGGTGGAGAAATATCGGAGTCGGAGTCGTGCCGTCCCTTCCCTGTAATAATATGCACATATTAGTCACTTATTGTGAGGCTTATATTTAAAAAAGCGCGACAGGTAAAGGCTAAGTTGCATGAAAAATGATACGCACAAATTATTCAAGATACCTTTTCTTGGAGGAGAAAATGGTCTGAGTCGAGTGATCGTTTGACGTCCCTTTGGCTGTAAAGAGCTGAATGGCCTTGCCACCTTAGTACTTCACTGTGCGAACAGCTTGAAACTCGCAACCAAATAGTAAGGCGCTGCGCTTCCGTTCCTTCAGGACCGTCAGGCCTCCATCTGTTTCAGCGCCGGAGCCATTGCATATAGCGTACCAACCGTCTCGCTCTTAAAAGCGGTATAGGTACTACACCTAGCGCTTTCTTGCCTATGCTCACTTCTCCAATATCTACTTCTCAAATTAAACACTCCCACTCGCTCAAACGCTGCCTTGCGCCCAAATTGTAGATCGATACCTATACTTTCCTAGCGCCCAAAACGTAAAGACGCTGAAAGCGCTGGCCCATGTTCAGAATGCCAAAATGCTAGCGTACGCTCAACTCGTGTGCGCAGACATGACCACACCCTAAAGGCCAGCTATATAAAAGTTATGTAACTACACTTCCTCTGGTGGGAGATCACTGTCAGAGTCAGAGTCGATGACGCGGCTTTGGGCTGTAACAGAGCAGATCAATAATTTCCCCATTACCTGCTTCTCATAGTTATTATGCTGATGGGTTAATTTTGCAAAATTACGACCTTCTCCCGCAAAAGTTGCTTTCCCGGTACTCCCTTCCCCGTTCTCCATTACATAACATAATCCTAAATTTTTCACTATTTCAACCTGCATTCCCGTAGTTTTTTTTCCCAACACTCTGGAGAATACGTACACTTAAACCCACACCTCACACTACCACCCAACCTCACCCTCACCTCGACCGGCCCAAAACCCACCAATCCCCTTTCTCTCATGCAACGGTGCGCTGTCAAGACTATGAAGAGAGGAGGTATGAGTGCTTGCAGTTATAGGCCACGGACGAAACGGAAAAAAAAACTAGAGAAAGTTAAAAACCAAATACGTTTTTTCTTGATGCCAATTACGATCTCTCCTCCCTCCAGCGAATAACTACGATCTGCTCGCTGAGGATGCCAACGTGCGACCTGTCCTGTTCACAACGCTCTCAACGAATCGGTAGAAAAACCCGTATCCGGTCCGTTTCAGAGGACCACAGGACCGTAGAATCGAAAAAATCGGCGAAAAGGACCAGACACGAATCGACTTCATTCGTGTGGAGAAGGGGAAGTCAATTCGTACCTATCCTTTTCTTGGATTCTACAGATTCCTCAGTTCTCTATTTTGGCTTCTATAATAGTTGTCTATAGTACACCAAAGCCGATGTTGTCCTCAAAAAAGTGGAATAGCTAGAGTATACTGCCTAATCTTCAGAAAGTATGGAGCAAAAACTTACCAGGTATTCGTGGAGAACTGATAGATTCGGTTCTTTGAGCTCCTAAAAAAGACAAGGTGCTGGATGTGAAAATTTGCAGAAAATCTCTCTCCAGCACTCAAAAACATACCACTATCAGCAGCTGATGGTGAAGACGGCTCCTGTTTGATTTCATCAATCGGTTGAAAGGACCTTTTGAACTTTGGCGCTTCTCGGGCTTTCGCCTCCACCTCAAAATTGAAGAGCAACATACATTAACCAAAGGACTCAGAACACGTACCCCAAATCACGGAGATGGGGAAGGGCGTGACTGCGTATTCAAGGTGTCGTCTACACTTCCGGTG